TTTTTTTTTTTCTCGATAAGGCTCACAGGCAACTTTTCTTTTGTCTCGTGTCCTTCATAAAGTATCATCTGTTTTTACATTTTATGTGTTTTTCCCCTTAAGTTGTAGTCAGCTGATATTTTTTGTGTGGTTTTAATAAGCAGCAGAGCATGGAAAAGAAATCCTTAGCTTTAATCCACCACATCATCCCCTGGCTCGTGATCCATTTGATTTTCTTTCCATAGAACCACAGACAAGGAGTAAATTGATTTTGATAATCTCACCTCTTTTTGTTTTCCCCATCTTTGCCTGAGGTAGGGTTGCTAACTGGAGGCACAAATTGCAAAAAATTCATTTCTGAAAAGGAAAATCCAGCATTTGCAAATTGATATTTGCTCCGAGAGCATCAGATCATCCAGATTTATCATTAATAAAAGGATACTGTTTGAATTACCTGAAAACCTTCAGGTTAAAATTTCAAGAGCGGGGACAAGTTAATAGTCCTGACACATCTTGTTCATTGTTTTAAATGTTATGACAAATTCATAGCTTTTTCCTGATACCCGGTCATCGTCCCTGACATCTTTCTGATGTACCTTCTCCCAGGACCCTGAGGACCAAGTTTACTACGTGAAATTTTTGTCACTCCCAGAAGTGAGACGAGTCATCCATGTGGGAAACCGGACTTTTAGTGATGGGACTGACGTTGAAAAGTACTTGCGAGATGATACCGTACAGTCAGTTAAGCCATGGTTAACTGAGATCATGAATAATTACAAGGTAAGAGAGTTACTTCAGTTATTGTCTATTTTAGGAACTTTTCAGATTACCCGGAGCAGAGGTGATTTTCTTTTATGAGTAATTTGACTCCTGCTTTTTTTTTTCTTTTTTACTTTTATGATATTTTACAAACATAAATAACAACCCTTCATTGTTTGATTTCTTTGAATTAATTTTTTTTTTAATTAAGCCACTTTCCACTGATTGTTCTTGTTCCTTAAAATGGAATATCCTTTGGCACATACCACCTCTCATCCTTTCTTAAGAAAAGGCTAGCAGGGCCAAAAAGATGACTGGCCTTGTGTAAGAGCAAGCTTTCCCTTATTGTTTGCTTTGTAACATGAATCACAGTTAAGCCAGGGATAGCTGAAATCAATCGGTTATTCCAAAAATGCATTTTGCCTAATAATTGTATTCGTTCACTTTGCTCGACCACAGTTTGTTCGGCATCTGCTTCAAGCCAAACCCCGTGCTAGGCTGTCAGGTTGAAGGGATGCGTGAGGGAGGATTCTTGTCTTGAGCACTGTGCTGTCTGGTTGAGATGTTCTGCCTAATTTGCCAGTGAAGGTAGCAAAAGTGAAGTCATAGAAAAGGAGCCCTGAAGATTTAGGCAAGGAGCCTGGGCCCTAGAACTCTCACCATGAGGAGGGACACCAGGAGCAAGTGACATGGGGGAAAGTTGTCCTGTGCATTATTTCTTTCCTGATATTGCTCTCTCATCTCCTCTGATCCTCAAGGGCAGTTATTGTTTGTCCTAGGGGTGGCCTGTGGGGCGACTCTGAAGGTTAAGTGTACTAATGATAGAGGAGACTGCCCCCTGAGGTGACCGCTTTCTTTCCTGTGTCCTGACAGAGGCAAGGGTGATGTATGGGATAAA